TTCTGACCCCCAAAATTTGGGCTCTGTGTTCTCTGTGTCCCCAAAATTTGGGCTCTGTGTTCTCTGTGCCCCCCAAAATTTGGGCTCTGTGTTCCCTGTGCCCCCCAAAATTTGGGCTCTGTGTTCCCTGTGCCCCCCAAATTTGGGCTCTGTGTTCCCTGTGCCCCCCAAAATTTGGGCTCTGTGTTCTCCCTGCCCCCCAAAATTTGGGCTGTGTATTCTCTGTGCTCCCCAAAATTTGGGCTCTGTGTTCTCTGCACCCCCAAAATTTGGGTTTTGTGTTCCCTGTGCTTGTGCAGAATGGGGGGGGGCCATGGCTGCTGACCCCCAAAATTTGGGCTCTGTGTTCCCTGTGCCCCCCAAAATTTGGGCTCTGTGTTCTCTGTGCCCCCCAAATTTGGGCTCTGTGTTCCCTGTGCCCCCAAAATTTGGGCTGTGCATTTTCTGTGCCCCCCAAATTTGGGCTCTGTGTTCTCTGCGCCCCCCAAATTTGGTCTGTGCGTTCTCTGCACCCCCAAAATTTGGGTTCTGTGTTCTGTGCCCCCCCAAATTTGGGCTCTGTGTTCTCTGCACCCCCAAAATTTGGGTTTTTTTGTTCCTTGTGCTTGTGCAGAATGGGGGGGCCATGGCTGCTGACCCCCAAAATTTGGGCTTTGCGTTCTCTGTGCCCCCCAAATTTGGGCTCTGTGTTCTCTGTGCCCCCCAAATTTGGTCTGTGCGTTCTCTGCACCCCCAAAATTTGGGCTCTGTGTTCTCCCTGCCCCCCAAATTTGGGCTGTGCATTCTCTGTGCCCCCCAAAATTTGGGCTCTGTGTTCTCTGCACCCCCAAAATTTGGGTTTTTTTGTTCCTTGTGCTTGTGCAGAATGGGGGGGCCATGGCTTCTGACCCCCAAAATTTGGGTTGTGCGTTCTCTGTGCCCCCCAAAATTTGGGTTCTGTGTTCTGTGCCCCCCAAAATTTGGGGTCTGTGTTCTGTGCCCCCCAAAATTTGGGCTGTGTGTTCTCCCTGCCCCCCCAAATTTGGGTTGTGCATTCTCTGTGCCCCCAAATTTGGGCTCTGTGTTCTGTGCACCCCAAAATTTGGGTTTGTGTTCCCTGTGCCTGTGTAGGACTGGGGGGTCCATGGCTTCTGACCCCCAAAATTTGGGCTGTGCATTCTCTGTGCCCCCCAAATTTGGGCTGTGCATTTTCTGTGCCCCCCCAAATTTGGGCTCTGTGTTCTGTGCCCCCCAAATTTGGGCTCTGTGTTCTGTGCCCCCCAAAATTTGGTTTTTTCGTTCCTTGTGCTTGTGCAGAATGGGGGGTCCATGGCTGCTGACCCCCAAAATTTGGGCTGTGCGTTCTCTGTGCCCCCCAAAATTTGGGCTCTGTGTTCTCTGCACCCCCAAATTTGGGCTCTGTGTTCTCTGTGCCCCCCAAATTTGGGGTCTGTGTTCTCTGTGCCCCCCAAAATTTGGGCTGTGTGTTCTCCCTGCACCCCAAATTTGGTCTGTACATTCTCTGCGCCCCCAAAATTTGGGCTCTGTGTTCTCTGCACCCCCAAAATTTGGGTTTTTTGTTCCTTGTGCTTGTGCAGAATGGGGGGGCCATGGCTGCTGACCCCCAAAATTTGGGCTGTGCATTCTCTGTGCCCCCCAAATTTGGGCTGTGCATTTTCTGTGCCCCC